GGACACTTGATATAATTCGATTTATGCAAGTATCAATAAAGATTTGCATCGTTGCACATTCATCTATAAAAAAAAAAAATAAAATAAATAAATTATAATTATATTAAATAAATAAGTTAATAATTATAAAAAATAGATCAATATGGGTTTTTTCTTAAACAAATTAATTTTTAAGATTTTAAATAATAAAATAATATTTTTTAATTTATAAAATTAATTATATTTGATGATTTGTTAAAAATCTATTTGATTTCAATAAATAATAAGATATTAACTATATTATATTATAATTTTTAAATCAAATCATATATTTGTATTATAATCCCAATTAATATTTTAATTCAATTAATAGAATCTAATATAAAGAAGATTTAATTATTATATTATATTTTAATTTAATAAGATTTATAGGTCTATAATACAGTGGTTAATACTTTACAGATCAGATCACAAGATATCAGTTCAATTCCATATAAAGGCAATTGAATAGAATTAATATGATATAATCTATTATATACTGTTTCTCATAAAAAGCTAATTTACATGTCAATTCGGTGGGCATTGAGATTGTGATCTTTAAAAAAGGAGTTGTGGTGTAATGATCATCTGATTGTACTATAATGATTGCTAGAAGTTGGATAATAAAAAGGTATAGAAGGTATTCAGTTTGAGAAAAAGATAGCTTGATGATTGCTTTCCTGTAGTATCTGATATTTTTTCCTGCAAGTTATTAATAGTCTGGTTTGGGTTAAAAGGTTTCCTTTATAGAGTTCTATTCACTATAATAGATATTACCTTTAGTTTCCCTTTCACTTCTCCTTAAAAATACTTATGGTTAGAAATAGAACTTAATATAAAATAACGATACTAATGAAATATAGTACATTAGTCTTAATAGAGAATCTTTAAGTTCAAAATCAATAACAGCAAGCCAATATGGGAATAAAATTTGATATCGTTGGATACTAACTAGAATAATGTATAAATAGTAATTATCTGTGTAAAAACGTATAATATATATATATATACTAATAAATTCAACTGTGTTGGGCAAGGCCCAGCTAGTTGAGTTAAAAAAATATATATTCTAACTTAATAACTTATTATATTTGAAAAATTGATTTAAAATTATTGTTTGGCTAAAAAATTTGATTAATAAAGTTTATGATTTGATTAATTTCTTTTAAAGCTTCAAAGCAATTAATTTTATATTAAATATCTTTAGTATAGAGTTTATATCTTGAATAATATGTATTTGAGTATTGATCTGAATAAAGTTGATAAAGAATCTGATAAGTAGGAAGAGTTTCTAATAATAATTTGATTTTAAATACTATTAGAATACTATATTTGTTTTTGTATAATTTTTTAATATTTATATTAAATTGTTTAATTATTAAATATTTATTATAGTTAAATAATTACAATATCTTTATATGTTAAAATATTAATATTTCAAAATAATTTTAATTATTTAAAATTATATAATATAGTTTTAAATTATTTTTTTATTAATTGAATAGTTTAAATTAAAGATATTTTTTTTTAATGTTTTGTACTTGAAAAATATAATCAAATCCAAATATTAATCCAAAAAAAAACCAATTAAATTTATTCGAAATTTTATTAAATTGATAATTATTTAAACTTGTATAAATTTAGATTAATATATTTGATTGTGTTTATTTCATTTTTTTAAAATGAGAGGCAGCAGATGTAAAATTTTATTAAGCGATATACCATCATTAGCGATAGCAATTGCTTAAAGTTAAAAAAAATAATAAGTAATTTTACTTTAACTCAACTTTTTTTCTTAAATTCTTTCTATAAAAAATATAAAAGCATAAAAATACGAAATTTATAATAAAATATTTTTTTTCAAACATAATGGACTTGAGATTACGGAAATTGATGTTAATTTTTGGTGAGATGACTATTTTTAAAAATTAAATATTTGAGTAGGATCAGGTGTTCAGTGACTTTCTTCCATCGTATTTTATCCAGTGTTCTTTAATCGAACTGCCAAAGTTATTTCTATATATGGAGATGCCTATCAGCATACCTTAATTATATAATAACTATGTAGAGCATTCAAAATTGTTACAATGTTTTTATTTGTATAATTAACCAACACTTTTTCAAGTAAATACCTCATTGTATACGCAACCAATCATTAGACATGCCCATAGTATATAAGTTTCAAAATTTTCTAATCAAAATTCTTTTGTGTTTCAAAAAACAAATCAAACTTCATCAAATCTCGAATAATTGTTTTCATAAAAAAAATCTTTTTTGTGGTTAAAGCAAGCTTATACACGATGTCAACTCAAAAAGAGCAACGTGTAATTTTAAACGTAGGCGGAATTAAGGTAGTCATGTTTTCGATGCGTAAAATTTCAAGAACCAAATGTTAAGCGTACGGACTTAAATTTCTTTTTTTATATAGTATGAAACCTACCGTTCAACACTAACAGCCTATCCGGACACAATGCTTGGTACAATGTTTCAAGAACGTAATAATTCCATGCTTCACCCCACAGATGGTGCCAATGAATATTTCTTTGACAGAAATGGTTATGCGTTTCGATTTATAATAGAATTTTATCGTACGGGCAAAATCTTATGGGAAGAAACCTATGATACCGCAGTTGGTGGACCGATAAATGTCTCGCGTAATGAATTACACGAGGAAATTGAATATTTTCGCATTCCATATGATATCAATGTCGATTGTAAAAGATCAAAATTTAAAAAACGTCCAGCCGAGGTGATTGATGCGTTTGTGAATGTGTTAGAGTCATTCGTTGATGCCGCACTACAAGGATGGCATGGTGATGTAAAAATTTACTTATATGAGGATACGATTTCATTCAAGGCTTTCCTTGATAACGAAGAAGTTTCAAATAATCGTAATTTTACTGATCAGAATAATTTTGTGATATTTAAGAAGATGGGATATCGGGTGTTAAAATCTTTTGCCAAGGATATTGCGAATTATTTTAAGAAAATGATTCCGGGGCTGGTTTGGGATTGTCACCATTTTGACAGGCAGATTCCCCAAGTTACATTACCTCATTTTTCTTTAAAAATTTCTTTTGGTGATCGATATTCCAAGGGATTATTAGAAAGCACAAATTTTTATTCTAATTTGAAGATAATGAATGATGAAAATTAATATTATTCTGTGCAAGGTTCCACTGGCTTGGAAATGATGATTAATAGATTTAAGATACTGTATTATCAGATTCAATATATCATAAATTACACAAATACAAAAACCTATTTTATAAACATTAGATAGTTAGATTATCAACGATATTAATAATGCAATTCATTTAAAAATTTTATTCTAGAAAAAAGGAACAAATAAACAAATGAATTATTTTGTAATTAAATACATATACTGTATGTGTTTAAAAAACAATAGGTTCAAAATATTCGATTAACATAAAATAATACTTTATAATACAATTTGTTATATAATTTGTTATTTTAATTAATCATCTAGTTAATTCTAATAAGTTTACTTTAAATAGATTATTTAAATAGATTTACTAACATATTTTTTTATATTATATTTCTGTAAATTCAATTAAAGTTAAATAAAGGTCTATGCCAATATACAATATAAATATAATAATAAATTAACAAATTTTGCAATAATTAATATAAAGTTTTTTTTAGTAAACTTTTGTGTTAAAGAAATTTTAATATATATTTATAATATTAAAATATTATAAAAAGAAAAAAAAAACATTATATATACTTATGTATTAAAAAAAACATTTATTTTTAATAACAATAATTTATTTATTTGAATATTATTTAATTTAATTAAGTATAATAAATTTTTTTAAATTTATATTATTGTAATTAAATATTATATAAATTATAAAGATATAAAAAATATTTAACTTAATTTATTAATCAAAAAGTATTATTTAAATAAAAACTAGTTTCTATTATATAACTTATTATTATTCTATAAATTTTATATTATTTTTTTAATATAAAAAAACAAATAGTATAGAAGAATTAATAATATATTTACTTTTTATTCAATATATTTTGTATTAATACTTATTATAAAAAATCTTTCAAAAACTTGCAAATAAAAATTTATTTATACAGTATATATTAAGAAAAACTATTTATTTATTTTTATTTTTTTGGAGGGGTTTCTCCAGTAGGTAAATATCATTTTTTTATTTGATATTGTATATAACATAGTATACATCATAAAAGAAACAATATCTCTTATATATATAAGTAGCAAGTTAAATGCTAGCTTGCCTATGTAAATATATTTAGTTAATATTGAAAAAGAAATTCCAAACAATACTATATACTAGTTGTGTCTGAATAGTATCTATGCCTATCTACTTAGAAAGTCTTTTTATAAATTTGTAAATAAAGTAATTTAGAAAAAGAAAAAATAAGCATAACTAAAATCAAAACTAAGTAAAATAAACTATAAAATCTATAAGTAGAAAATCAATTATTTCTTCAAGAGAACCTTCAGACAGGTTTGTTATCCTATCTTTCTGGCTCTTTGGTTATCATAAATAGTAAAGTATACATGATGTCATTTGTTGTTATAGTTGTTAGTAATGGTGTGATTGACATTATTATTGTGATTATTGTTATTGTGATACAAAACCGGTTTAAACAAGTTCAGTTTTTATTTTAATTTTTAGATGAAATCTGATTGGATGATTGGAGAGTGCTGATCATCTGAAGAGGGTAAACTGATTTCAGTTTTTTGAACAAAAAGTTTTGAAGTTTTTGAAGTGATGCAGTAAATGTCGCCATGATAGAGTTGTGAGTAAAGATTGTATTAAAACAAACAGTAGATCCAATAACTCTGTTTGAGTGTGTGTTTTGGAAAGTATTTGGTTTAGCAAATATAATAATAATAATATAGATGGTTTTTATGATAAAATAAGAATAAGGAGGTGTGCAAGAGAACAAAAAAATAGAGAACTGCCACGGGCCTTTCCTCATGCAATCAAAGGATAAGCAAGACTCCCAAACTTAAGTAGACTTTGACCAGAGGTCCCATTTCACTGCACCAGTTGTCTTGAAGGTTCTTAAGTTCCTGAGCTGGGCTCACTTGCGATAAAGAGTGTAAAACATTTTTTCTTGCTAAAATTACCATAAAAGGAAATTTTTTAACAAAACGGATGCAATTAGAAGAGAGCTTTTGATTGAATAATTTGTTTAATAAATTAAAACAATATATTATTAATTATTATTAATTATTATTATTAAACTAAAAATAAATTACAATAGTATTTTTTAAATATTATATTATATAAGTTAATTTAATTTTAATTTTAATATTTTTAATTCAATATTAATATTTTAAGACTTTATATTAGTAAATATTGATATTGATATCAAAAAAATTTATCAGTTTTATAAAATATTATATTAAATAATATAGATTAAAACTTTTATTTTTTTAATAATTTATAAAAATATTTATATTTAAAATTTTTTTAAAAAAAAATTTGCAAAAAAAAAAAAAAATCTTTTCCTACTTCTTTTTTTATACTTGAAATTTTTCTTTTTAGAAAATTTTGGAGTTGTTTACTTTTTTTATTCTTTTCTTTCCTTTTCTAATTTCTTTTTCCTATACTTTTTTTTCTTATTCTTTATCTATTTTTTTTTCTTTTTATAAATTTCTTTTTATATATTCTTCTTTTCCTTTTCTCTTTTTTCTTTTCCTGCCAAAGTGGAGGTTTTCTTTCTTTCTAAAAATTTTTTCTCTCTAAATCTTTCTCTCTTTTCAATATACTATCTCTTATTTCATTAATTTCCTAATAAATAATCTCTTTTTTTAAAGAACTATATAAGAAATAACAAGGTTTTTACAGAATAATGAACTTTGAAATTTTTTTTCTTTTTTAACTTTTCAAAAAAAAAACAGATAGTTTATTCTTTTTAAAAGATTAACATAATTATTATTATCTAATCCTATATTGTTTACTTGTTAATAGTAAGACTAGATATATCTAAAAAACTGGTGTATAACTATTATTATCTGAAAGTATTCAAGAAATTTCTATAGTATTTAAAATAATATGATAACCAATGCCAATACAGTTAACAATAAGCTAAATTAGTTTGGGAGTATTATACTAGTAATTGGAGAAACCTAATAAGATAATACATAAAAACTAGGAATTTTAGTTACTTCCATAATATGAGCTGGTAATAATAATAAAAGTTTCTTGCTTATCCTCTAACAATATATGTCTTATTGTATAAGGTTAAGTATTAGTACCTTTAAGAAATTTCAAAACAAAATTTCATTCCTAAAATACTTTTTCTATATTTAGACAATGAATATATCAAATTCTTTTTATAACTTGAAAGCAAACTTGTATAAAGTGGCTGCAGTGTTTTCAAATAAAAGATAATCACAAATTAATTACTCTTAATACTACTTTGCTTGTCAAATATAAGGATCCTAACAATTCTCTTTGATTCAGTATTTGATTCTCAAGTTTATATTAAATTTAATAGGTGGGATATACCCCACCATCATTTTTAATAGTGTTCTGAACCTCATACAATTTCCTGTAATTCTGTTTGATTCCAATTTTCAGAACCATAGCAGAGGGTTGTTGGACAAAATCAAATGGCTGCTGAACAGAATGTTAACTGGAGGACTGCTGACCAGAAGATTGAACATAAGGCTACTGAACAGAAGGTTGAACATAAGGCTGCTGAACAGAAGGTTGAACATAAGGCTGCTGAATGGAGGGTTGACTGGAAGGCTGTTAAATGAAATGTTAAACAAAATGTTGAATGAAAGGTTAACTGGATGGCTGTTGAATGGCAGGTTGACTGGATGGCTGTTAAACGGAAGATTGATCAGATGGCTGTTGAATGGCAGGTTGATAGGATGGCTGTTGAATGGCAGGTTGATTGGATAGTGACTTCTCAAAGGATTGTTGACCAGATTGTTGAAAGAATTGTTGAGCGAAAGATCACAGAGATAATTTTCTTTTTGGATTCATTTTTGAAAAATTTTTGGGAAAAACTATTACTTTTATATTTAATTTTTGTATGGTCATAACTTCATAATAAATAAATGGTCACTATATTGTCACTATTTTTTTATCACTTGATTAATGAATTGTCACTATTTTGCAATGATTCTATCATAATTTAATTAAAGTTACCTCGAAATCGTATTACCACGACAACATTTTATTAATAATTATAGTGATGACATCGTTACTATTTTGCAACTAAAAGTTATCACAATATAGTCACTATTTGTTCACTATTTTTTTAAAAAGAGTTGGTAACGATGTCATCATCGAAACGATGATTTAATCGCTACTAAATGGCTGAGATTTTGTCATGACATAGTAAAAACCATTAAATTACGATTGAATCTTCATGATTCAGTCACAAAATTGTGACAATCATGTGACTAGATTGTTAGAATTTGAAAGGTTTCAGTAAAGAAAATCGTACAAAGCTCTAAAGATAGAACAATTATTTCAAAAGTATTTATATTTTTCAAATAAACTATGGAAATTTGAATTAAAAATTTAAATAATTCGATAAATGAAGTACTTCAAATTCTTTTGAAAGACAATAAAAATCATAGATGAGGATTTGAAAACCTTGAAAGTATTTTAAAATTATATTTTAATTTTTTGAATATTTCAATAAATAATTTTATATTAACAATATTTGAAACAATTATAATAGAGAATAG